GGTATGTCTTTTATTTTGTCTTATTTTAGTGACCCAGAGAATGTAAAGGTCAGGCACAGTCTAAAGATAAGGACTGGATGTGTTATGAGTGATAGTAGGTGGGACCTTGCATGCAGTATTCTCAAACTGTTGTGCACAACAGTGACCTGTGTAGCATGTTGCATATAGTTTTCTGAGATCGATTCTCAAAGACGTACGGATTTTTCTTTTCTCAGATGAAGCCTAGGGCACTGCATTTTCACACATTCTCCAGGTGATTCTGATTCGGGTAGTCTATAAATTTATACTTTGAGAAACACTTTACAAAGTAAGCAAGATTTTCAACCCTGGAACTTTCAACCCTAGAAAACGAAAATACACCTTTCTCTTCTTGTCTGTCAACTACAGTGATAAGTTTTGTCTTTGAGTCACCCATAGTTGTCCTTACGTGTCCAAGTGACCTAAACTCTATGGCTGGACGTTCCTGAAGACTATCGTCAATTTAAAAATAGTAGCAATGCTTCACCAGGCATTAGTGCCTTCCCTGGAATTCTCACACAATCTGGCCATTAGGCCTCCAGGATTGTGGCTTTATCTCATTACAGTATGGCAGTCCTTATGGCTCTCATGATTGGGTTTGGATTTGAACTGATAGAAAGAAAAAGTGTTTTTGTAAATGAAAACCTGTTACTCTTTCTGCATTCTAGATTATCTTTGTACCATTTCCATATCAACTTAATTTCTGGAAAAGAGATTTCAGACCACGTGGATTTCATGATATCCGGGCATGTTACTAAAGCCCAGCTCAGGTCTGCTTGGGAGGCAGGAGAGTCAAAAAGAAAATCAAAGCTTGGCAGACTTGCTTTTGTGAGTTTCTTGACAGCACTAAGTCCTGCATTAGAAATGTACAAATGAATTTGAAATGTAGTTCAGGGTTTCAGGGTCAGAGTGCAGGTAGGAGTTCTCCAAGAAAGTCCCTTTGCTAGGACGAGAGTACAGACAGCACTAAGGATTTCTAGCACTGCTTCACCGGCTGATGGCACCATATTTACAACATGGAAATAGACCAAACAAAGGGGCAAGCCTGTAGCAAAGGGGGAGGTGGTGCCCAGTATGAAGCTCTTCCTCAAGTATGTTGCATGGGACCTAGGTCTGCAAAGGGTCTTTGGCCATATGATTTTGGGAAACACTATGGTAGAGTTCAGTGAGTTTCTTTCCTGCAGGACTGCTGTGAAAGTTTAATTACTGATGAGCATTGCAAATTTCTAAGATGGGGAATTTTCAAAATTATCTAGCATGGTTAATTCCATCATCCATCGGGGCTTGTTTTCTATAGAAGACCCTTTCGGGATACAATAGCAAAGACAGGACAGCGTTACAAACATTGAGCGCATACTATGTGCTGGGTATTATGCCAAGTGCTATAAAAATTCCGTCTTGGTTTATCCTCACAACTTTCTAAATCAAGCACTTAGTTTTAGCTCCATTATGTAGATGATGGCATTGAGGTTCAGGGTAAGTCACTTAAGCCCAGAAGTGGCAGACTCAGAACCTGGTACCAAAAAGGGACTGTAATCAATTTCTTCACCCCAGACATGGAGTTTTGAAATTGCTTTCATGCACACAGGCCATGACCATTTATTCAGCACACCCTATATACATCATTCACTTTTCACAGGAAGACTTGTTATCCTCATAAGCAATGCCATTACTATAATCAGCCTAGGTCCTCATGAATAGAACATAATTCAGTGCACTTCTGAGTCCTCGCAGGATTTCAGAAACAATGTGAGCCAGCACCCACGCTTAGAAAATGTGGACTCACTTACAGAACGGACATGTCCCTGCTTTAACTCTGTGTGTGGATAATGGCAAATAAACTGCTCAGCACATTCTTTCCCTTTTCTACCTTGTTTAGGCTGCAACTGGAGAGGGATTAATTTATGCTAATTCCACACAACAAACTAAAACCCATTTATCACAAGTTTTCATTCCTCAGCAGAACACACACACACACGCACCTAAGTGTTAGGCAAACTGAGATAATGCAGCTGCTGTTGTGCGGCAGTAATAGGCCCGTTTATATCCCGGGCCAGGTCAGCAAGTAGCGCCACGGAACACAGAGGGCAGTGGCATCCAGTCTCTCCCTGGTCTGCCTGCTGCTGCCCCCCCCCCCACCCGCATGCTGCTAAGTGATGCAGAGATGGGGGCAGCAGACAGCGTGCGCTTTAGAACTCAGATTACAGAAGTTCATTTTCCCAAAATACTTTGCTAATTACTTACCAGTGCTATTGCTGCTTATTTACGAATGATGATTTAATGAGGAATGATTTGGAATTGAATGATTTAAGCCTGTGATGTGGAGATAGAGGATGAGGAAGGGACGGGAGTGCACGCGCGCGCGTGTGTGTATGCATGTGTGTGTGCGCACGCACACTTTCTCTGCTAGCGAGAGCCTGGCCGAAGCAATTTCCTCTCTTTACTTTTCCATTTATTCCAAATGCCAGCCCTTTCAAGCAGTTACCAGTATCCTTCCTGGTAACTGCATAGCACTGATCTCTGCTGCTTTTGAAAAAGCATGCAGCTAGGAAGGAGAAGTTTCCTCATACAGCTAACCTGCCTCTAAACCGTCTTAAACAGAGGCCCCTCCCTGAACCTGTATGTGTTCCCTGTCAAGCTAAGGGTTTGCATTAGAGGATTACCTATAAAGTATCTTCCCACTTTTATTTCCTTGTGTGTGATGACACGGTTGTGATAATGTCAAGACAGAGCAAGACCTTCTCTTTGAGAGTTACAGATGGAATTATATGATAGCTAAGATTTGCTTCAGAATAACCCAACAGTTGAGGTTGTCGGGACTAGATGGGGAAAAATAAAATAATGTCTGTGGATTGGTGTGTGTTGAAGCCAGGTGCTGGGCACGTTTCTCTATGCACATGAACCGTGCACGCGTGCACACACATACCATATGTATGAACATATATATGTCACCCAAGTGTAAGAGTGCATGCTCTGTGATTCTAATTGGTCCTGTTAAGGCTTGATACTATTTTAGCTGGAGCCACTTAATTTGCTTCTCACACTGTAGTTCTTCCATAGATATATAGAAGATACAGTTCTTGGTATATAGACAGAAGTATGTTTTTAAATTTCTGGTATGTTCTGCTGAAATTTGCCCCAGGTGTGTGTTTGGGATGGGGCTCGGGTTTAAGGCTTAGTACTTCCACTTCCTGGTTCTGTGTCCTTTGGAACGACATGAACCAGTGAGAGCCTCACTGTTCTTTTCTGTTCAGCAGAGGTCACACTGCCCCCGCCTTACATTTGTGCGAGTCAGTCGTGATAATGTCCATGAAAAACAAAAGGTGGCCTCTTCTCCAGGGACAGCCTGCCAATTCTGGTGTGTGTTCCCAAGTGTTTCCGGACTCCTCTGCTGATGGCACTGTGTTTGCCTCAGTGAATGAAAGACACTGTCATGTTCTCATTTTGACCCGGAAGCACCTTGGCCTTGGCTGTCTCACCACAGCCTCCTCACACACAGACTCACCCACGGGCACCACAAGCACAAGCGCTGCTCGACTTACACAGGAGAGAGAATCACAGGGGTTGCTTAATTTGCCTGCTTTCTAAAAGCTGATTCTACTACAACAACTAAACCTGTTTTCTGAGAAAGAGGGCTTGACCTGTGTTTCCCACCAAAACGATTTGGTGTCCGGAACATGGCTTTTCAGTAGCGCTGAGTGGCTGGAACTCAATCGTACAATAACCAGACAGAGCAGAGGCTTCCTCGGGTCTTGTTGGAGAATGTCAGTATACAGTCCCCATTCCTGAACCTTTGTACCCGGGTGATGAGAAGGTTGCCTTCTTGGCTCCCAACAGAGAAAAGCCACGGGAAATGGTGCTTGAAGGTCACCCACATTTCTGACTACCAGACTTGACTTAAATGATGGAAGATAAAGGTCAGCATCCAGGCTTCTAAGGTGTGCATGTGGTTTGGCTTTTATGCTTGAGCTACGCTATATTTGCAAAATGTCAGTTTTTGAGAGATTGAAAATTAATTGCAAACAAAGCCCTTAAAGCACGAACAGATTTGACCCTAAGATTGCAGAGGACTTGGAGGTGGAGAGAGAGATGCTACGCTCTGAGAGCAAACTCAGGGCTGGAGGACTTTTATGGATGCAAATGCATCTATTTGGTCCAAGAGGAGAACTCACTGCATCTGAGAGGCTGGTCTTTCCTGGTATGAGCTGTCAGGGCTTTGGGAAGTTCTACAGACGACCCTGAATCATACACCCCTCTGCCTGCATCACAGTGGCTGATTTTGTGAAATACTCACTTAGCCATCAGTTTCCTGTGTGCAGAAGAGATAAGGATGCTCCATTACTCTCTAGTTCTTTGTCTCACATGATGGTTGCAGAGACAGAGGGGGGTGGGGATAATTCATAAAAATCTCCCTGTTGGTTTTTCTGGGGATGTGCATTGCTTAGTGCGAGGAAAGCTTGCATTCGAGAGTATAGGAAAGTATAGTAATTATAGTCTTATAGGTGTTGATTAAAAATAATAGCAGCAGTAGTAATAAACTGTGGAACTTACAGAAGACTTAATACATGTCTAGTACTGTTATCAGTGCTTTACGTACATTAATTCAACTGGTCCCTACAAAAACCTGGTGAGATATGTACTGCTGTTCTCATCTCACCACATAAGCCTGTTGAGTGAAATAACGTGCCTAGAATCCCATAGCCAGCACATGGGAGAGCAGCCTGGAATCCCCAAACTCTGGCTCCAGGGTCTGTGTTTCCAGTCATCCACTGCACTTCTTAAATAGGCCAGCTGGAGCATCCTAGGGGCTAGGACAGGCTCCGATGCCCCCCTCACGTGTCAGCTGTGTGACATCATCTGTGTGCAGACTCCACCTGGTTTCCTGGCACTCACCGTGCCTCTGTGGGGAGAGTTGTGAGCCTCTTACAGAGCCAGGCATGCCCCCATCTCTGCCGGTGACCATGCCTTGTATTCTCCCCTAGCCCCGCTGGTGGACCTCACTCCAACTCACAGTGGGTCTGCCATGCTGATGCTGCTCTCAGTGGTGTTTGTGGGGCTGGCCGTGTTCGTCATCTACAAGTTTAAAAGGTACGTGTCCTTCCGTCCATGTCTCCCCTCCCCTGTCCTTCTCCCTGACAGGTTCAGAAGCATGAAATGCCGCGATGTACGTCTCCCATGCATAGCCATGATGCTGTCTGTTAATGTTTTAGGAAGATCCCGGGGATTAATGTTTATGCCCAGATGCAAAATGAGAAAGAACGAGAGATGGTCAGTCGAGTCAGTCCCACTGAAAGCAGGCCCCATATCCCTCAGACTGAACTCAGGAGGCCTGGCCAACTGATAGATGAGAAGGTGGATTCCCAGCTCATAGGTAAATGACTCCCAGTAGCCCTCAGCTGTTCAGCCTGGGTAGTTAATGGCTGACTCTGCCTAACCCCTTTCTGGCTTGACGTAACCACTTTCTTCTGCTCTAACATTCCTGAGAGAAACAGCTAAGATGTCTTTTTCCCTGCTTCCTCCCATTGGACTAAGAAAAAAAAAAAAAAAAAAGCCTTCTTGCTCCTATGTAGTTTTTTTTTCCCTCCCTCTCTTGTGACTTTATTCTTCTTTTTGCAAAAACTTTTCCTTTAAATATGGGGCTCCAAAAATGTTCATGGGCAAAGAGCAAAGCATTTTTTCTAACAATGTACAAGAAGGATGGGCCTCAGAGGCTGGATCTGGTCATCTGGAGGGCCAGGCAGCTTATGAGGAGCAGGCTATGGAGTGACAGGGTAAGACAGGACAGCCTCACCTAGAGACAACTCTAAGGAGGAGATATTACTCCAGAATACTTGTAGAGAAGTGACATGATAGAGGAGGACCGGGCTGATGACCCTGGGTTTTTGTTTGTTTGGTTTTTTTTTTTTTTCTTTTTAATTTGGCAGTCATCTAAAAACTGTCCTCCAGGAAACACGGAACCTGGGAATTCTGAGGACAAGAGGCATAAAATTTGTAGAACATTCCAGGAGTGACGTTTCCTGAAAGAGACCACTGGAGGGCTAGACTGTTACAGAGCAGATCAGCAGATTTTTTCCTCATTTTTACCTGTCCCCTATCAGAAGTCTTAAAATGGACCTTACTCTATATCAGTAGAGCTCCGTCTCTCTGCCTATGAATTAAGCATGGGAATCCCAACAGCTAGGTCTAGAACCTTACTATTTGTGGCAGAGGAAACTTGCCAAGGGAGGTCGACAAACCCATGGAACCACCATTGGGATCCATGGCTTGCCGGGAATCAGGAGTTGGCATCAGGAATCAGGAGTTGATGTTGTAATATTGCCATCTAGATCCTGTATTGTTGCCCAGGGTGGATAAATTATTATTTAACCATTCATGCCTCCCTCTAATGTCAGAATACCAAACCTTCTAGAAGGCCATTCATTGCCTAGGATTTTGTATCTGCTACTTAGAAAACGAAATGAGCACCTAAGTGGAAACATAGCCCTCTCTTTAAATGGATGGGGGAAAAGTTCTTGGCTGTATTGGGGAAAATTTCAGTGCAGTGACTGGCTTGTATCAGAAGTAATAATAACAACTGTGGCCACAACTGGGGTCCAGTTTTCAGAGCGTGCTCTCTTTTATTTGGGGAGACAGGGTGATAAGTGTGTAATTGCTTTAGGTTCAGGAGAAAAAGGCTTTTCTGTCTTTAAGTCCAGAGAAGCATTCACCCTGTCTATTTACTTCTAAAGCTTGTAAGCGCATTTTTGTGGGTCATTTGGTTTTCAATCCCATTTCCACGGGGTATGAAGCACAGCGCCGTTGACTTTATTAAAGTGGCGATCCCTCCTTCGCCAGGAGCGTCTGGCAGCACACTGCACAGTCTCTGACACCTTCCCATTTCCAGTGTCATTAAGTGAGTAAGTGTTACACGTTTTCTCTTAGGAGAGTAGCTTTACCCTCCCCTCCCTCCCCTTCTACTCAACCTGGTGACTCATCTCTCCGATTGCAAAGAGCAAGACACGCCACTCCGCCTTCAACGCCAAAGCGGGGATCTGCTGGGGCGCAATTTGCAATTTAAGGAAAACCCCCAAAGGCTACAGGCGACCTGCCGATCAGGAAAGAATTTCGCTCTTGTCAAGTGCACCATCCTTCATGACCACTAACTTTATGTTTTTTTTTTCTTTCCTTTGTTGTTCTGTTTCCTATTTTGCCAGGAAGTATTTCCATAGTTGCTGAGAATCAAAGCACAAAAGAAATCCCTACCTATGTAAATGTTTGAATGGAGGACGCCAGTAAAAACAAAAACAAACAAAAAAAAATAAAATAAAAACAATCAAAATCCAAACAAACAAACAAACAAACACTCACTGCATCGGGACTTTTTAATTCTTCAGACACAGACAACAAGGGTTTTTAGCTTTAAGCCTGTGCATGTGGACAATACCTTGAGAACATGCTTGGAGGGGCAGTGTACAGGTGCTCTATTTTAATGGAAAAAACACTCCCCTCCCCCTTTCTCCCTCTCTCTCTTTTTTCTGATCGGTCGTGTTTGTAGAACATTCATAACATATAGAGGCCAAGGAAATCTGCATGTGTTTTTGGAAATATTCTTGGCTCTAGATTTAACAGCTATTTTAGCTCTACGGGCTGACGGGTGGATTAGCCACCCCAGCCCCTTTCATAAGACACAAAGACATGCACAGGAGTGTGAAACCCTGAGCTGTTTCTCTGTTCCACTTTCCTTACTGCCATTTTTCTGTTCTCAGTTATCTCTGGTAGCTCTGTTCGCCAGCGGTGACCACAGGGCTGCTTTTTTGCATTCTGTATGGCCCCAGGGATGAAGAAGCGAGTTGAAGTTCCATATACTCAGGCAGAGTGATGCAGGCAGGCAGGGGGCAGGCGTGTGAGAAGTGGACCTTTCCCTCACCCAGGCTTTCCCTTGCAGCTTCCCTACTCTCACCCCAACCAACATAGAAAAGAGAATCCCAGTTACCCATCGTCTGGCCTCCCCATGTGTTTGCTATCCATGTGTGATCATGACCTCTTGATGTCTTTGTACCTCTTCCTTCCAGTTTCCAAGTGGTCTTTCAAGTCCCCCTACTTTTTTCTTCCCAAACATGTTGCAAGATTCTGGACATGAACCTCGGTATTTCCTAAATACTGGCCTGGCGCCTGCCAACCTTGCCCTTGTCACATTCAAATTTCTGATCCGTCAGCATGCCAGCTTCCCTACACACTGATCAGGCTGTCCTGCCCTGCAGGGTTCAGCTCCATGTACCCTTTGTCTCCTCCTGGAGAACCTGCCTCTTGCAAATAGCCTTGCCTTTTCTCACCTGGAAACATGCAATGTGTGTGAAAGAGTTGATACATGCAAAACAATTCAGACCTGGCCATGTACACTGGAAAAGAAAGCAGACAGATGCGTAGTGGTATTCTCACACCTTAACAAAAATCTCTCGTGTGCAGATTCCAGAATATTCTCGCGAGAAATGTTTTGACATGTTACTGTGTGGCAGGGCAGTTTCCTTCTGTAATGGTTGCTATTACCCAGTATTTGTTCTCTCACCGTAGAGTAAAACTATTTGTAAAATAAAACTGATTTTAACGAGAAGAAGAAGCAGGTTAATGGATTTAATATTGAAGAGTGTCAAAAAGTCTGAGAACATATGGAGGTCTTGTCTTACATAAGGATGCGATTTTGGTTATGAAGGAACCCAGACATTTCACATGTGTGATCTCTGATCTCTGAGTATCGTAGTATTGGCAAAGGAAAAATTAATAAGCTTCAAGGGGAGGAGGTAGATGTCTAACTAAAACAGAATGACTCAAGGCATGAAAAATCCCTGTTTGCCCAGGGCAATAATGAAAGAAGCACCAGAGAAAGAATGACACAGAAGCATGTCCAGCAGAAGCCCTTGGAGGATTATGAGTTGGGTAAAGCCCACTCTAAAATATAGTAGAAAGCAGTTTTGAAAAACCACTCAGAGGGAGCAGCCTCCTTCTTGGCCATGTTCCCAGGCCAGTAACAGTTTATAACAGGGTCCCAGTGATAATGGGGGTGTCCCAAAGGTCTTGAGGAGCCCTGCCCTTATGTAGCTGGGCAGGAGAAGAGTGACAAAGCTGCAGTCAGAAGTTAACCAAGCAGAAGTTTTTGTGATTGAGGATGCCCAGTGTGGATCTGGGAAATGGATTATGCCTGCGGCAACCATCTGTTTGTAGAACTCAATTGATCCCCAACCTGCCAGGCTTCCTATCCCATAGGACACATCCTCATCGATCCGCTTCAGTTGGAGCCGCCCAAGTTTAATCTGGAAGACAAAATGTTGGGAAACCAAAAGAGGCTCCCTCAAAACAGCACAGGGGGTCCTTGGAGTTGCAGTTCAAGTAATTTTAATCGGAAAATTATGAGAAATGGAAAAACCCTCTGAATCTAGCACAGTGCCTTGCCTAGAGTAGGTATTAAGAAAACCACTCGTTGAAGGGATACATGAAAAGACTATGTGAGAAAACATAGGGAAGGATGGGCTTGCAAGTCCTAAGTAAAAATCGAGGTAGACATGAGATGCCTGGCATTTTGGAAAGTGATCACAGATGGCCAGCTCTCTAGTGAGCATCTCCAGGGTCCTCATGTGCCTCTCCTCCAAGCTCCCTCCCACCTTTAGGAGATTAGTGAGGCTAGGTACTGCTCAGAGGGGACCTCATTGTTCTTACAGTCTAGCTCTATGGTTCTCAAAGTGTGGTACCTGGACCAGCAGAATCAGCATCACCTCAGACTTATTAGAAATTTGGGGTCCCCCTACTGAAGTCCTACTGAATCAGAAACTCTGGGGGGCTAGGGGCCCAGTAGTCTGTTTTTACCAGCCCTTCAGGTAATTGTGATGCACACAGAAATTTGGGAACCACTGCACCCTGCCATTCCAGCTCAATCCCAAAGAGAACGTAGTAATGAGAGCCTACAAATGGGAGGGACCCAAGTGCCTACCTACTCACTAACAGCAGGTGCAAACACAGTGAAGAGTTTGGTGGGCCAGAGGAGTGAGTGGCGAGGGATGGGTGTGGAAGGGGAAATTCAGGGCAAGCTAAAAATCTGATATTGTGATGTTTTCCAAAACTCCCAGAGGGCAAACTGTGCATGCTCTACCCTGAAATACCCAGTCAACATTTTCTCCTTCGCCTTATTCCTAATTGGATTCACTGTCCAAAATGCAGAGGTTTGCCTTGCTTTTTTTTTTCAGAAGTTCCAAACAGCAACTTTGAGAGCAATGGGGTGTTTGGCAGCTGTTCTGTGTTTTCCAGGATTCCAACTGAGCATTGAAATCCCTCATTTGCCAACTTATTTTTATAGGAAGCCAATTTAAAAAAAAAAAAA